TTTTTTTGCAACAGGATCTCCTCTAATCACTCCCTTGACTTCTAATTATTGCGAACAAGAGGAGCATAAATGTACAAACAAGCACACGGGATTCCTACATCGCATTTCTCCTCTCGAAGATGTATCAACACACCCTATTTAGTTTGCTTCTATAGGCCTTGAATAGCAAATTTGCATTTTATGAGTTCTGAAGCATTATTAAGTTATTATGTGCGCGATTAGGATTGAGGGCTGACAAACTCATTATCCTCACAATATGCGCATGCATAGCTAATGCTTGAGAATGTCCGCAAAAGTGAGATCACATTCCTCTAACTCTCCTATGGGAACGTTTCTTGAGAAGTTTTTGGGTTTACTTGCTGGTGTCAGCAAGGAGCAAATTTCTTGCGTTTGTGGCCTTTTTGTTCGTATTTCCAAAATTTCACTTTTGCGACTGAGTTATCCCCTGTCACTCTTATTGACAAGGGATTATACACGAAGATATTAGCCAGTCAGTATTTGAAGAAGAATGACAATTGTTGACATCACAGAGAGAATTATAAATGCCCAAAGGCATGGGAGTTTGCGACAATATTTACTACTTGCTCGAGAGAACTCATCCACTGTTCCACATTCGAAACAATAGTGTCTCATTATGACTTCCTTCGGATTCAACAGTGGTGATTATTTTGCTTCAATAATTTATTTCCAATAAACAAAAATACTCCTTGCATGTTCAGACATTCAGACTGGTAGATTTACATTTAATATTTTTAGTATTAGATCATACGTATCATAGGTGTGATGCTTGCCATTTTTATAATCTCTATGGATGTACGTCTGGAGAAAACCTCCTTTGTTATAGTCCTAACACATTGTTAGCGCTGTTGTTTCTTTTTCAAAAATCGCTGTTATAGCTCTTCACGATATAAAATGCCATTGATTTGCTCCGATCCAAAAATAGGCATTTTGATAGGTTTCGCTGCTTACGTAATCTTAAAAATGTGCTTGTTGAAGATAGTTGGAGTGGCTCCGCAAATGTATTTAAAAGTATCTGTCATTAAAAGTATCATCTATTTAGTGATTAAATACTGCAAACTCTAGGGTTTCTTCCTTTGAAATTGTATAGTTATTGTTAAGACTGGAAATTATTCTTTTTCCTTGCGAGAATTTTACAAATTATTAGCTCTGAGTCAGCTTTGACGTCACAATGCTGAGCTCCGTTGTTTTGGTTGAATCTACAATTTAGCACAATTCGTCATTCTCAAACAACTTTTGTGGTTTTGTGGTTGTGGGATTCAAACTTCTATTTCTTCAAAAGTTTTGTTTAAGCGCAAGGTTTCTCCTAGTTGTTGGTCTGTTTCATCGTGATCAATCCCGATTTATTCATTGCGTTTATAATTGCCGTCTTTCCACCAGCTCAATCAAAAAACTATCTTTCAGAGCCATGGATTGGCTAGAAAATGCATTGGACGAATACAGTCGTACGATACATCCACCACTTGTATTGATACTTTGTATTTCTGGTTCGCTTGGTCATCTCGTGTCCATTGCCACCTTGTCTTCAATGATGAATCCAACAAACGCATTTCTCATCAGTATGTCATGGTAAGTTATTGTCATTTGATAATAATTGGAACCTTTTCCTGATTTCTAACAATTCCTGAACAGTTCATTGATCTATGCCGTTAACCTTTGTTCTCAGCCGCTTAATTTGTTGATCGTGGGAAGGATTGTCTTCTGCAATAGGACACTCAGCGATACTTGAGATATTTCCTAGGAATAGAGAATATCAAGTTACCGCACTTTATTTGCTCAAAGATGCAGGTTAATTTTACCAGAAATTATGCAGCTATGTATCTTACGAGAATGTTTACTGCGAAAAACCGCGTATGTCCAGCAAGGTTTTTTTCGCTCTTAACTTGAAAAATGTTGAGAAGACGAGCTTTCGTGGAGTAAAACTATATCCTAATAATGCCTTATGACGTACCGTGAAAAACAGCAATGTTGAGGAGCAACCCCACACAATAGATTGTTGCGGCGCCGCACCAACTATATCTGGTAGGATGGAAATGCAACAACAATTGTTGCCCTCATGACAACAACATAGTGTTGTACACCTTACAGACTGCAAAGGACTACTGTAACTTTACTATGATCTTGAATATTAAGTGGTCAAATGCCCTTTAATAATCCATATATGAAAACGCTCTATCAGCGTGTTATGCTTCTGTCTCTTTGTAATATCATCCATCCGCAGAGAATACTTGCGGCAGCCTAAATTGATTAAAAGCGACCACTACATGGACTGGAAGTTCACGTGATTTTGTACTCCATAGGCAGTTCCTGGGTTAGTCGTGATGCATGGATGCTCTGCTTTCATTCGCAAACACATTGCATGTTACCTTAATGTTCGCCATCTGTTGTTTTCCTTGTCTTGCACAATTCGGAAGCAAACGGAGGACAACAACTTCATTTCTCTTCCGTTTCGACTCACAAAAAAGTGATTTTGAATTGCATAGAAGCATTTTCCATGGAAGCCGCCAGTTTTTTCGAAATTATTTGGGAAATGCAAACTAGCTCACAATGTTTATTACACCTCGCAGAAGAATAGCATGACCACATAGTTTGAAGTAATTTTATGAACAACTTTTAGCACTGCTAACAATATATTTCGGAGTATTATTAAGAAAAAGCTTTTCTCTGCTAATAACAGCATAAATATGGTATCTTAATTGATCACAATCCGCTCTTGGCTCTGTGATTTGTTTATTTTTTCTAGCCTTATACCTGCTATGTGTTAATTAGTTAATATATCATCTCGGAAGATAATCAAAGCAAGACATAAATATCTGCGTTTCGTAATGTCCTGTACAAATAATGTCAACTTTTTTGGATGAAAGGCGATTCCTTGGGTCAGCATGCTATCTATTCGCATGTACTTGCTGGACTAACAAAGGCACTTCAATGGATTAAGTTGCATCTTTCTATTCTAGAAATAGGCAGTGAATAAACGCTTTGTTGGACCTGTGTGTCGATCAAACACCGATTTCCCAATTACACATCAATTAGGCAGTGCGCGATGTACATTAATCAAAACAGAGAGACAGTAGGTGGTGAAACAATCCTTTGAAACAGTCAAAATGCAAAACAGTCTATAGCCTCTCACGCTCTACAATTTTCTGTTTTTATGGAAAACGGTGTTGTAATCTGATGGTAGAATTTGGATTACCTAGTTCATCAACTTTCATCTTCACGCTTAAGCAAACATTGTGGCAAACTATTATAAAGTGCCATTTATTATTGGAAATGCTTAGTATTGTGACAAAGGTTTCGCTGCAAATCCGATAACTTCGACTTTACCAAATACTTCTTTTAGTTCCCTTTCTCAGTTTAAGAAACTACAACATTTGAGACACCGTTCTTCATCAATTTTATTCGTGTATGTATAAGAAGAAAAATCGTTGAACACTGGCAAGAACTTGGCAAATGCCACTATTAATTTAAAATCTGCTTACGGGCAATAAGCGCTTCTGTAAGAAACAAACATTGTGTGATTTGTGGTGTGGTATACCTTAACTCACTTAAGTAGAAAGGATTCATAGCGCTTACTACTTTGACGTATGCTAGTTAGACTATTGTTTTGTTTCACTCTGAACAGCTCTCTTGAGACTACTAATACGCACGAACTCGTCGAAGAAAGCGCAGTCGACATCTCCACAGAGTAGAATTTACTTAATTTTGGGTTTTAGGTACTTGTTCGATAGCGGAAATTTACTTTGCCAGTATCTGGGTCTTTCCGGGTTATTATTTTCTTGCTATAAAACGTGCACAACTAATCTTTAAGTTATGACTTTGCACCTTACCATCTCTGCATAACATAGCTGCGTGGTAACGCATGCTAAATATTTTATCATGCAACCTGATCTTTCAGGAAATGATGTGAAGCTCCATAAGGTATAAGAAATTGTAAGCTAAACCAACAACTCCTTTTTATCACTATTATAAGAGGATGGCTTTTAAAATAAATGCATCATCAAAACTTTGATGAGAAGAATAATTTTATTTACTGTCGTTAAGCAACAGGTCGTTGTTTTTGGACAACTGAATAGCTCAAAGCTATTCCATGGAATAAAAAGTCAATTAACGAATTTCAGTTCACAACTCGCCTTATGTGCCAATTTTCTATACTCGACGTTCTTTAAATGGGCATCGGACGAATTGTGTTCACCATTTTTCTTTTCATATTACATGGCAAAAACCATGCATATCTCTGTTACACTTTCAGTACTCGTACACATGGCTGGAGTGAGTTATCGACGTTTCAATGAAATCATGTAAAGGAAAGATGGGTTCATTCTTCAGGTGTTCCATGTGGTTGCGCTATCTATTATACGATATTTTTCTTTATCAAGATTAGCAGCCATCAATTCGTCGCAACCATGGTTTACTTATAAGGTAAGCATGTGCCATAAACAAAGCCTTCTGTCTAAGCTCTAGGAAATATTTATGTGCGGTTAAAGCCATTGCACTAATTCTCAAACAAAACACGTCGTCGCGGGCGTACTTTCGGTATTGTTAAACAACATCTGTCGT